TTTGCACAATACAATAATGCAAGGAAGATGTTATTATTAAGTCTTGCAGGAACTGACTCAGGAAGTGAAATATTTTGCCCAAGCTATGAAAGTACTGAGGGGCAGGGGGAGGATGAAAAACCACATGTGCTCTTAGATGCGATGCTCTGTGCCTCTATCTGTCACAGAGTGTGGCAGGTCACTCCTCTCTGCTTCTGGTGAAACTCCACTGAGAAGGGAAATGAAGACTCAGGGTCGTTGGGGTCTCCTTCCACTTTCTCATCAGGTGCTCAGCCTGTCTGAAACAGATTCAGATGCTCCAAATCACCTCTGTGTAGCCAGTCAGTCTTTTCAAGCACCTACTGAACTCAGTCCAGTGTGGAATCTGGATTAAATTCATCCTTTCTGTCTTATTTTCCTCAAGCATCAGTAACACAGTGTGCTCCATTACAGGAACTTTATTTAAAATGAACGAAAATCTTATAACAGTGGATGTATGCTACCAATCCATCTTATGACTCAATCCCCACATCCTGCTTCTCAAATGTCAAGGGGGCCATTCCAAAGGTTAACAAATTCTCCATCCATACTGCAGTAAAACTTGCTTTAAACAAGTGGTTTATAACCTAGAGCTCCTTTTAGGATATTCCTTTCATGAATCTTAGGAATCACTGTAATGTTAACATCCAACCAAGAGTGCATTTTTTTTTCCCTATTACTACAGACAGGAAGAGGATATTAATTAATCCCTGGGTTCTGGGGTCCTCAGGTTTGATACTATTGCACAGGTAGCTATAGACAAGTTGTGATCCTGTAGTTCTGATACTGATTTGTGATTCATCACATTAACCAGAATAGTCTGAAAGTCAAACATTCTATTTCTAGAATTTCAAGCAGTGTCAAGCTTTCTCATCATTGCTCTCCAAAATGGCATCTTCCAAAGAGGTTTAAAAAAAGACAGCTCTTGAAGACTGCCACTTATAGAATGTATCTGGGTAAATATTTTAGACATTATCAGCCAACAGCCAGAAAATTAAAATTATGGAATGAGGGCCACAATGTCATGAAATAAGAGGATGTGTTTAGAACATAGGAACCAACTAAGGATAACCCACTTAAGTGGAACTGTCAGGTCATTCTGATTTGAGGGCACTTGGCACAATTTTACGGAGAAGGCAATGGCACCCCACTTCAGTACTCTTGCCTGGAGAATCCCATGGATGGAGAAGCCTGGTAGGCTGCAATCCATGGGGTCGCTAAGAGTCGGACACGACTGAGCGACTTTCCTTTCACTTTTCAATATTAATTAATCCCTGGGTTCTGGGGTCCTCAGGTTTGATACTATTGCACAGGTAGCTATAGACAAGTTGTGATCCTGTAGTTCTGATACTGATTTGTGATTCATCACATAAACCAGAATAGTCTGAAAGTCAAACATTCTATTTCTAGAATTTCAAGCAGTGTCAAGCTTTCTCATCATTGCTCTCCAAAATGGCATCTTCCAAAGAGGTTTAAAAAAAGACAGCTCTTGAAGACTGCCACTTATAGAATGTATCTGGGTAAATATTTTAGACATTATCAGCCAACAGCCAGAAAATTAAAATTATGGAATGAGGGCCACAATGTCACGAAATAAGAGGATGTGTTTAGAACATAGGAACCAACTAAGGATAACCCACTTAAGTGGAACTGTCAGGTCATTCTGATTTGAGGGCACTTGGCACAATTTTACGGAGAAGGCAATGGCACCCCACTTCAGTACTCTTGCCTGGAGAATCCCATGGATGGAGAAGCCTGGTAGGCTGCAATCCATGGGGTCGCTAAGAGTCGGACACGACTGAGCGACTTTCCTTTCACTTTTCACTTTCATGCACTGGAGAAGGAGATGGCAACCCACTCCAGTGTTTCCCAGGGACAGGGGAGATTGGTGGGCTGCCAACTATGGAGTCGCACAGAGTCAGACACGACTGAAGCGACTTAGCACCAGCAGCTAAGCAGGCACAGTTTTAAAAAATGAAAATGTCATCCCTCAGCTAGCTGGGCAAGTCCCCAGCTTGGGCTTGTCTGCAGCAATTTTAAAGCACAGAAGTGGCCGCATCTCTTTTGTGCCTGGAACCAGGAGCTCTTTACTCCTCCCTTGGATGTTCCAGTTAGGGAGGGGAAAAGATTTTTATTCCTGGGAAAGAGAAGCAGCAGGTTTTTGTGCTTAAAGAAGAAAACCTTTGTATTCAACAATCATTACAAAGATACAGGGGTCTCTAACCCACAGGCCATGGACCACTTAAAGAGAAAAACCTTTGTATTTGACGATCATTACAAAGATACAGGCCAGAGCAGGAATCGGGTTGTACAGGAGGGGAGTGGTGAGTGAAACAGAAACCACCCCCTGACTAACCCTGGTCTGTGGAAAAACTGTCCTCCATGAAATCCAGTCCCTGGTATCAAAAAGGTTGGGAACTGCTGGACTAGAGCATAATTCTAAGTAGCCACATCAAGTACAAAGTACATTAACAGGGTTAAACTGATTACCCCTCCACTGAGGATTTTCTGTTTGGCCCCACAGCCTAGTTTCCCATTCCAGAATATGGGCAGGAAAATGGTCAAAAAATTAACTTGGATGATGATGGAACTGCAGCTCACTGTTGGAAACACAACAAGTGTTACTGTTGAAGAAGAACATTTTTTTCAGAATTTTTTACAGAAACAAAGACCATCAAAATGTGGAGAAATAGTGCAGATATTTGCTATAACTCAGGGGGCTTCCCTGGGGGCTCCATTGGTAAAAAGTTTACCTGCAATGCAAGAGACCTGGGTTGGGAAAATCTCCTGCAGAAGGAAATGGCAACCTACTCCAGTATTTTTGCCTGGGGAATTCCATGGACAGAGAAGCCTGGTGGGCTATAGTCCATGGGGTCAAAAGAGTTGGACGTGCTTAGTGACTAGACAACAACAAAGGACCCTGAAGCAGGTGGTGAAGAAAAAGAAAAGGCACAGCTGACACACCCTGCAGTGAGCCACTGTCCCTGTAGATCTTAGTAAGACCAGGCCATGGACTGTTGCCAAGAGTTCATTCACCAATTACCAGCTTTGTTTCTTTTTATAAGGAGGATATGCCTTCTTTGACTCTGTTCTGTTACTCCAGTATCTTCTGTTCCTGAAGACCTGATGGGATTTGTCACTTTCCCAGATAACGCCTTACTTGAAAATGGCCTCACGGGAAAGCTTATTACCATCTTTAATTATTAGAAGGATAGCTGTGAGACACATGGCCCATCTCTCTCTCTGGACACACCCCACTGTCACTATCCAAAGGAGTTTTATTTGATTCTGTGGGAGCACTTGAATTTATGCCCCATTAAAGCTCTCTTTTAAAAACTACAAGTTGAAGCCACATCTAACAGTCATGACATTCTCTGGATCCCACGCATATCCTAAAACTGGAAAACCTGTTTCATGGCCACAGAACCAATAAAATATATGACTTCATTCGAAATGCATGATTCTTAAAAGAGGAAAATAAAGTAATTTCTGGTGTTTATAAAACGCCTTTATGATTGGAGCTTTCTATATAAACACTGAATATGCTCTAAGAAGGTTCTCTCATGTCGTAAGAAATTACAGCTTAGACTGGAGTCCCAAACCTTTCATTCTGCTGTGAGATTTGCTTTCAGTTTCAAATTTAACTCTTAACATTTTTCTTTTAGGACCAAGGTCAAGATAGGGCCTCTTAATATTTATGCTCTTACTCATCTTCCATTAGCCACAGTGAAAACAAGCATCGCCAGTTTCCTACCTCAAGACTTGGTTACATAAATAACTGGGTGTGACCACACTGGATGAGTCAACCAGTCAGTCAACAAACAGGACTCCCCATTATGTGCCAGGTGGGAGCAGAGTTCTACAGGAAAAGTTCATGTGACCACGTTCCCGTTGAAGAGAAGGACTCTAAGCTTCAAGCAACATCAAATATACAGCTGGGCTGAGACAGTCCTCTAACTGCCTAAAGTACTTGCTCAGAGTACTTTACCTCTTACTTACCTCCCCTTACCTCTGACCTGTTTTTTGAGGAATACCATCCGACATGAATAAAAGAACCAAGGACTCTGACTCCACCAAGAATTCCCCCAAATATTCCACACCCCCTTCCGGGCTTATGCCTCAGTATGTGCATGCTGGTCAAGTCCGACTCTTGAGACCCCGTGGACTGTAGCCCGCCAGGGTCCTCTGTCCGTGGAATTTTCCAGGCAAGAGTGCTGGAGTGGGTTGCCATTTCCTTCTCCAGGGGATCTTCCCCTTGATCAGGAAGGGATTCCGATTCACGTGTACACCCTCAGCTCATCTGAAATCCCATGATCTCCATGAAGGCTTCTCCTGCCCAATCAGGAAGTTTTCTTCTCTGAACTCTCCTCTACACGACCTGTGTATACTTCCCACATTTTAACCTCCACAGTCGTCCTCTCTTTTCATTTGTTACCTTCCCTACAAAAGGGGAAGCTACTGGAGTCCAAAATCATTATTTCTGGGGTTACTGATGGCGATTCTTCCAGCATGTGTAGCATGTGGCCCAAACTCCATGGTTTGAAGCAAAGCTTTGCACAGCCCGGTCGTTCCAGAGGGGTGCCCTGAGGCCACCTGGTGGGAGCAGAGTGGACAGGTCTATGGGAGAACCCCAGCCCTCCAATCTGATGGGTTTTGACTGTAATTCTACTATTTATTGTGGTTCATATAAGTTTTCCTTTAAAAAAGAAGGATTCTGCTAGAGATAGAAAAAAAAGGAAACCACTGCCATAGATACTATCAAATAAATGAACAGAATTATATCTGATGCCTCGAGTGCTTTTTTCCTTCAGATATAANAAAAAAAAAAAATTTCTATTTCACTCCAAATTCAGCAAATTGCTCATTCTGATCACCTTGCATTGGGGAGTTTTCCTTTCTTTAAGAAAGAAAGTAAATTAGCAGAGGACTGAGCAGAGAGACAGAAGAACGGGCCCATCACCCCCAAAACAGAAAGGACTTACGGCTTCAGATTTGGGAGGCACTGGAGGCGGAGGTAGGGCGATCTCGGCAGATTTCACCGCTGCACCCAGCGCTCCGGGTACAGGAAGGGGAGAGGTTGCGCACTTGGCCCGGACAGAACCTCGGAACTGGTCACATCTGCTCTTCTCACTCAGGGAGCGAGTGAGAGGCTGATGGCTGGGCTTGCCTTCCTCCAGCCACAGCTCTTCATAAGGAAGTTCCGACTTCCCTGCCATGCCTGCAGATTCTTCACCAGCTTCTGGGAAAAGGTAGTCGCTCCCGCTGTCCCCCGAGTCCTGATAGGGTAGGATGTCATGAGGAAAGGGGGCCCACTCTCCCCCCAGGTCCCTGCAGCCGTGGAGGTTCACCTCGCTGTTGCCATGGAGATTGTTGCCATACACACAGACGGAGAGCCGGTGGAAGGACTGGGTGAGCTCATCGCGAGCGTAGCTAAGGGAATTGGGCACGTGGTTGTGGCCGGCGCACCGGCCCTTCTTGGGGCTCTTACAGTCCTCGTTCCAGTCGGTTTTCACGTCGCGGACCGCCCGTGAATACTCATCGATGTCGAACTGTTCTTGGCAGATCCCCAGCCAGTGATGGACCAGGGTCTCGGGCCATCCCTCTCCCTTGACCAGGTGTTCCGGGAGGCTAAACTTCGGGACGCTCAGGTGCAGAGGGAAGTGCATCGGGAGAATCTTGTTGTTTCGCAGCACACAGCAGACCACCACGGTCTTGGTCTGGATGTTCACAAACTTGTAGCGGTGCCCCTCGCGGATGAAGTGCAGGTCGTACGGGTTCCTGGGCGGCGGGCTGGGCACGGTCACGTTCACGGGGAGCCTGGTTTTCTCCACGATGTTGCGGATGGTATGCTCACCCTCCTGCATCTGAAGCTCCAGGGGGCTTCGGGTGCTAAACCTGCCCTTGCACTGGAACGGGAGGCTGATGCTCTCGTTGGTCCGGTGATTCATGCAAATGAGGCAGGGCATTTTGCCTTTTCCCAGCTTGCTGATGGAATTGAGTTTCCCAATCTTTTTGAAGATGGTGTTGAGTCGTGACTTCTCCTTGAAAGTCTTTGCATAAAGGATTTCTGCCTGGCCCATTAGAGTGAGTTCATCCCCCGTACACAGGGTGATGTTGTAAACTTCGGTGTCTTCATTGCATTCACCCGAAGCAACCTACGATAGGATAAATCAAATTTCAGGGTTGTTTTCTTTAGTTTATTTGCATGGAGAAGTAGACAACTTGATATTAAGACACAGATGTGCATGCACAAAGGAAAATGCTGTTTTAATACTAAATTTAGACACTCCATTTCTCCTATAACATGTATGTGGTTAACAATAATAGGATGATGTTAGTTTAGACTTTTAAAAACACTTTTTTTCCCCCAGAAGAACAAGGTACCTTGTATTCCTTAGTAAAATCTTGGGAAATACAGAAGAAAAACATAAGAAGAAAATAACACCCACGAGTCTGATGACTATGGTTAATGGTTTGATAAACATCCTTTTGGTTTTCTTTCCCTATGTATTATACCATGCAGATAATTATTTTGGGACTTTAATTTTATCATTGTATCTTTTTCAATTATACAGATACATCCATAAATACTAATGTAGAAAATAGCTTTTGAACTACTAAAATTCTACTAATATTTTACCTTTAAAGTTTTGCTAATTTTATTAAATTTTCTAAAGTTGGGACAAAGGATTATACAAACTACTCACATTCATCAGAAGAATTATTAGAAAATACAGATACAAAAATGAGCAAAGTCTATACGCCCTAACCAGTCACTGAAGATAACCTGCTGACAATTTTAAAAATGGAAAGAAAAGACAAGATGGCAGAGTAGAAGGATGTGAGTGCAACTTCTTATGAAAACACCAAAATCACACCTAACTGCTGAATAACCATAGGCCAGAAAAACCGCCCAAACACTGGTTCATATATACACTGGAATACTACTCAGCCATTAAAAGGAATGAAATAATGCCATTTACAACAACATGGATAGACATGGAAATTATCATACTAAATGAATTAAGTCAGACAAAGACAAATTATCATATGATATCACTTATACATGGAATCTAAAAAAAAAACTCTAACACAAATGAACTTATTTACAACACAGAAACAGACTTAAAGAACGAACTTATGGTTACCAGTAGGGAAGGGCTGGGGGTGAGGGGTTGGTCAACTGGGGAGTTCAGACTGACATGTGTACACTGCTATATTGAAAATGGATAACCAACAAGGACCTACTATACAGCACAGGGAACTCAGCTCAATATTCTGCAATAATTTAAGTGGGAAAAGAACTTTAAAAAGAGTAGATAGCATGTATACATACAATTTAATCATTTTGCTGTACACTTAAAAGTAATACAAAATTGTTAATCAACTATTTTAATATAAAAATACACTTTTTTTCCCCCAGAAGAACAAGGTACCTTGTATTCCTTAGTAAAATCTTGGGAAATACAGAAGAAAAACATAAGAAGAAAATAACACCCACGAGTCTGATGACTATGGTTAATGGTTTGATAAACATCCTTTTGGTTTTCTTTCCCTATGTATTATACCATGCAGATAATTATTTTGGGACTTTAATTTTATCATTGTATCTTTTTCAATTATACAGATACATCCATAAATACTAATGTAGAAAATAGCTTTTGAACTACTAAAATTCTACTAATATTTTACCTTTAAAGTTTTGCTAATTTTATTAAATTTTCTAAAGTTGGGACAAAGGATTATACAAACTACTCACATTCATCAGAAGAATTATTAGAAAATACAGATACAAAAATGAGCAAAGTCTATACGACCTAACCAGTCACTGAAGATAACCTGCTGACAATTTTAAAAATGGAAAGAAAAGACAAGATGGCAGAGTAGAAGGATGTGAGTGCAACTTCTTATGAAAACACCAAAATCACACCTAACTGCTGAATAACCATAGGCCAGAAAAACCGCCCAAACACTGGTTCATATATACACTGGAATACTACTCAGCCATTAAAAGGAATGAAATAATGCCATTTACAACAACATGGATAGACATGGAAATTATCATACTAAATGAATTAAGTCAGACAAAGACAAATTATCATATGATATCACTTATACATGGAATCTAAAAAAAAAACTCTAACACAAATGAACTTATTTACAACACAGAAACAGACTTAAAGAACGAACTTATGGTTACCAGTAGGGAAGGGCTGGGGGTGAGGGGTTGGTCAACTGGGGAGTTCAGACTGACATGTGTACACTGCTATATTGAAAATGGATAACCAACAAGGACCTACTATACAGCACAGGGAACTCAGCTCAATATTCTGCAATAATTTAAGTGGGAAAAGAACTTTAAAAAGAGTAGATAGCATGTATACATACAATTTAATCATTTTGCTGTACACTTAAAAGTAATACAAAATTGTTAATCAACTATTTTAATATAAAAATGAAAAATTCTTGAGTGATGTTTTAAGCAAAACTAATTTTACTATGCTTATTGCACCACTCAAATTCAAAAATTTAAACTCCTGTTCTAAAAAAAGAAACAAATGTATTAGTCTATCTCAGGGATATTTATCAATATATATGCAATTTTACTGCTCTGCTTCTCACTGTAATTTGTCCATTTTCCTGTGCATATACTCCATTAATATTAATACTGACCTAACATATTCCATTATATATGGATATGCCTTAATTTATTTGACCAATTCCCTACTGTTAGGCAGATGGGATTTCCCAATTTTTAACATTTATAAATAGTACTGCAATAAACATTTCACACTTTATTTCCTTAGGATAAAGTCTCAGAAACAGAATGCATGAACAAAGCTGTGTATATATTTGAAAGGTCTAATATGTGTTGCCTATTGTATTGGGTTGGCCAAAAAGTTTGTTCAGGTTTTTCTGTAAGATGTAATGAAAAACCCAAATGAACTTTTTGGCCAGCCCAATACTTCACGTGTGTTATGCGTGTGTGTGCGCTAAATCGGGAGTGTTACACATCTTAATATTTCTACTTTATGAGCTTGTTTCCCCATACCCATGCTGACTAGGTTTAACGCCTACCAGTATTAAAGGTAAAGCATGTAACCTGCATTTATTTATGCTTGTGAAAATTTTTTGATATTTATCAGGCTATTTATAGAGTTTTTCTTTTATGAACTGTCTTCTTGTGTCCCTCACCCACTTTTCTACTGTGATGGTTGTCTTTTCAAGATTTATGTATCTATTCATGGTTGCATTGGGTCTTGGCTGCTGTGCATGGCCTTTCTCTAGTTGCAGTGAGCAGGGGCTACTCCTTGTTGGGGTGCTTGGGCTCCTCATTGTGGTGGCTCCTCTTGTTGCCGGAGCACGGGCTCCAGTAACCAAGGCATTTGGGCTCAGGAGTTGTGGTGGACCAGGCTTGGCTGCCCCAAGGCACATGGCTCTTCCTGGAGAGGGATGAACCTGTGTCCCCTACACTGGCAGGTGGACTCTTAACCGCTGGACCACCAGGGAAGCCCTGTGACGGTCATCTTACTGACTGCTTTTTATGCAATGTGAATGTCATTTATGCTATATATTTCCTAATATGTTGCCTGAATTTCAATTCTATGGTTTAGGTATTAGTTTTTTTTGTTTGTTTGTTTTAATGTAGCAAGCATTTTAAAAGATTTCCTTTGTGAGTTCATTCTTGGGTGTTCTGCTCCTTGTTGAGTAGATACAGATCAGTGGTTTGATGGAGGTGTGCTTTTGTCCCCTCCGGTCCTGAGATATTCCAGACTGCCATGACTGTGAGGGTGCTATTTACATCTAGTGGAGAGAGACAAAGAATGGTGCTAAAAATGCTTACAAGGCACATGACAGCCCCCAGAGCAAAGATTCATCCAGTCCAATTTTCATGAGTGCTGAGCCTAAGAAATGCTGATATCATTAACCAATATTTTCTTCTGCTATTTTGATGGTTTCATTTATTAAATATTTATTTAACTTATTTACATAAAATTTACTTAGATTATTTAAGACAGGGCTCTAATTTCTTAAATAGCTAACCTAATGTCCAGTACATTTCCAAGCAACCATCCCTTTCATCTCAGATTTGAAGTGCCACATTTATCATATATTAAATTTATAAAACACATACATTCAAATGCATACATACATTTTTTCCTAAAGACCTTTCTGCCTATTTTCACATCATAACAATGTTGTTTTAATTTCTATATCCTTATCATACATTTTGAGATCTGATAACAACAGCCCTCACTTGCGGTTATTCTGACCCAAAGTTTCTGGATAGAAAGAGAAAAGAGAATCAAAGTCAAAAGTCAAGTAACAGGCTGAGAGAAAATATTTCCAGTGTATATCACAGAAAAGGAACTAATATTCCTAATACATAAACAGCTCTTTAAAAAATGACCCCAAACCCTCCAGAAAAACAGAAATGTCATGAAAAATCAACCCACTAAAAAGATGCATAATGGAAAAGATGCATCTATGGAAAGATGTTCAACTTCTCTCACAACCAGAGAAGTGTCAACTATAATTACACTGAGATATCACTTCTCACCTAGAATACTGATAAATATTCAGAAGCTTGACACTGCACTCAGTTGGTAAAGCTATGGGGAAACAGGCACTCTAGTTCATAGCTGGTGGAAATGCAACATAGTACAAGCCCGGGGCAGGGAATTTGGCAATATTTAACCAAACTATTCATGCGTTTATCCTTCCACTCAGCAATGCTACTTTTAGGAATTTACCCCAAAGATATTTCTCCAACAGTATGAAAATACACATGTACAAGGTTATTCACTATAGCATTATTTGTGTTTGTAAAAAATATTGGAATCTATTTAAAAAGTGCCCAAACATCGGCAATTGATTGAATAAACTAAAGTACACACACAAACTGATGTTATGTGAGAAAGAAAGAGGTTAATTAGTTCAATGAATCGGCATGGAATGACTTTCAGAATAGACTAAGTTTAAAAAAAAAAAGGAAAGAACATGAAAATGTATAAGGTATACCACCATCTTGTTTAAGAAAGAAGGAAAAGTAGTATACATATATTTCTGCCTTTTTTTTTTTTAAAGGAACATAAGAAAAATAAACCAGAAAACAATGCAATTGGTTACTTCCAGGAGGGAGGGGAGTGAGGAACCTGGGGGAAGGGACAGGGCAAGTGACACCTCTATGAGTAAACCATGCTATCGAGTTTCGACTGTTAGAAAGTGGGCCAATGGTCTACATATTAAAAATAATAATAAAATTAACAAGAAATTAAACAAAAACTGAATGCAAATGGAAATAGATGAACCCAACTGTATTTCAAATGAATAAACTAATAGCCCTGGAGACAGAGAAGGAATCAAAGTGACTGTGGAACACTGACTATATAGTGCCAGTAGGGAAAACAAAAGACCGACCAAGATTGTGTTCTTTTTAGTAGATTTGTTTTGCATGGAGGTATAGGGACAGTGAATCTCAAACTACTTTACATGTGTTGGAGGATTGAAAAAATGAGTAAATGTGTCCATAGTTTGGGAGTTTTCACTGTGGCAGGGGAGTATGGAATTAAGAAAAGCAAGAAAGAACTCCATGGCGCTGGACTGGAATTGAAGGCATTTGTATGAACTCATAATTTTAAGAACACATAGACACAAACACACATGACTCAGCTTTGTCCTTTCAAAGAGATTACAAGCAAAGACTCCCACTATCACCATTCCTCATTAAAAGGAAGCAGGGCTCCTGGAATAAGTGACTGATTCCAAGGCTAGGGTAAGAAAGATACAAGATGAGCTGGGAATGTTCTGTTGTGCTGGGAAGTAAAGAAATGCTCTTAAGATGATTGAATCCCGTCAGAAGGATACAGGAACCAGCCTGAATTAGCCCCCATTGGTCCATATTGTTAACAAAAAGATGAATGAATGAAAAAAATGAATGGGGGAAAATCTGACAAATGTAGAGAAGTGGTGGGACTGGAAAAATTATAATTTTGTACTTATTACAGTAAAGATTATATGCTAGAATCATTAGTAATTACTGAATTTATAGAAGTTTGATTAAAGAAATAGTAATGAGCAAGATCTTAAAATGTCTTTGTGCATAAGTTTATTAATTGCCAGAGGAGGAAAAGTAATTGTAGAAGGTAGAAACAAGTGATAAAATCTAAACTCACCAAAAAGTCTATTTCCTGTGGGTGTGATTCCCTGAAAAGGTCAGAACCTCACTCATGTAACATTTCACCTACAAGGGCATTCATTAATAGAATCTATTCATGAGGAAATATCAGACAAACCCCAAATGAGAAATATTCTGTAAAATATCTAGTGTGTATTCTTAAAAACATCCATGTGATGAAAAACAAAGAAAAGTTGAAGAACTGTTCCAGATTAAAGTGAAAGACAGAAATGAAAAGTAAATGTAATACATGATTCTGGAATGAATTCTGTGCTAAAAGAAAAAAATGCTATAAAGTACTATATTGGGACACTTGGCAAAGTTAGAATATAGACTGTAAATAAAAGTACTGTTATCAATGCACTGTGCTTACATAAGAAAATACCCTTATTCTTCATAAATATACACTGATTATTGTCAAAGGGCATAAGGTATATAATTCATTCTTGAATGGTTCAGAAAAGTGTAAGTTATACATTTATATGTATATGCATATACATACACATATATATATGTGTGGGCATACAGAATGATAAAACAAGTGTGCAAAATGCTAAGAGCTGGTGAATCGAAAGTGGTTAGGGAGATCTTATATTACTCCTGCAACAATTCTTTAAGACAGAAGTTATTTAAAAACTTCAAAGAAAACATGACAACAGGAAATTTTAGATATTTTTTAGAAATTAATCTATTTCTCCAGATGAACTTTATTTTTGGCTGTGCCGAGTCTTCACTGGTGTGTGGGCTTTTTCGCCCCTAGTATCAGCGAGCAGGGGCTACCCTCTAGTTCTGGTGCACAGGCTTCTCATTGCGGCAGCATCTCTTCTTGCAGAGCATGGCCTCTAGGGCACGTGGGCTCCAGAGCACAGGTTCAGTAGTTGTGGCACTTGGGCTTCGCTGTTCTGCAGCACGTAGGATCCTCCAGGACCTAAGACTGCATCTGTCTCCTGCATTACAGCCACCCTCCGTGAACCTTAGAATCATCCTGTCCATGGTTTGCAGTGGTAATTCTATTGGAAGCACATCTACATGGGTGTTTTTTTTGATAAGAAGTAACATCATGATAGTCATATTTCCAAAGTCACATGAAAACTCTCATCATGTATTCAGATCTTTTATTTCCCTCATTGGTATTTAAGTCTGCCTTTGTTATCAATCCCTGAGTATTACTGTTCATTTGTGTTGTTAAATATACTTTGTTGATATTCTGTGTCCAATAATCTTATTGTAATAGTTTTCCCAGTTCATTTTCTTGGGATTCCTAGGTGATTATTTTTTATGCAAACAAAAACATTTTTTTTTTCATTTTTAAAGTTTTCATCCTTTCTCCTCATAACAGAGTGGTGGTGGTAAGAGTGTCATTTCAGATTTTAATGTGAATATCACTTGTGTTTTAACATCAACTATGAGAAATCTGTCAGTTTGAAATAGATATTTAAAAAAATCATTATTACTGATTTGTCTTTCCAATTCTAGTTTTCTAAAAGTTTCTACAAAGAAACTAAATTTTATTTTTTACCAAATGCTGTTTCTATATCCAATAAGATAGTCACATGTTTATTTTAAATTTTGATGTATGGATTTTATAACAGTATATTTCCAAATATTAAAACAACCCTGTGCTGTGCTTAGTCATTCAGTCGTGTCCGACTCTTTGTGACCCCATGGACTGTAGCCCGCCAGGTTCCTCTGTCCATGGGGATTCTCCAGGCAAGAATACTAGAGTGGGTTAGCATTCCCTCCTCCAGGGGATCTTCACAACCCAGGGATCGAACCCAGGCCTCCCACATTGTAGGTGGATTCTTTACCAGCTGAGCCACCAGGGAAGCCCCAAACAACCCTACATGCCTGAAATAATCTCTGTGTGATCATGGTGCTTAAAACTACACTGCATGATTCTCCTAAACAGCATTTCATCTATATGTGATGTGCTGGGTTGGCCAAAAACTTTGGTCGGGATTTCCACTGCATCTTATGGAAAACTCCAATGAATTTTTGGCCAACCCAATATCAATCACAGGTGAGATTAGCCTACAGTTCTATTTTATCTTTATCATGTTTTAGTATCAGGCTTACATTAAGCCTGAGATGGATTTTTTTCTTGTATGTTAACAAAGCATCTTGGGTAAAGTGACATTATTCATATTGGTTAATGGGTAGTAATCATTATGTTCTTAGAGAACTAAGTAGTAAGAATCCTTGTAAATAATTTCTCACCCATTCTAGGTCATCTTTACATAATTTTAACCTTGGGCAAAAGCAGTTTGTCAGTTAAAAGTAGTGCTATAAAAAAATAAACAGTTCTGTTGTCTCTGGCTGGGAATTATTCTGGAGGAGGCATTATCAGCACATAAATGGCAGAACAAAATTGCTTTTAACAGGAGTTCAGGCTCCAAAGGTTTAAGATCCATTTTAGGGGACTCAGATAAGTTTTATAATTATTTTTTGACAAGAACTTAACCTAACTGTATTTTTAGACTCAGCATTCAAGTGGACCTCTGTATACTGGAGTAAGTTTAGGAATTTAAATCAATAACAAATAAATAAAATTTAACTTTTACTTGGAATACTTTCAGATTTGTAGGAAAGTTGCAAAGATGGTACAGAGAGTTCCTGTATACACTTCACCTAACTGCTTCTATTAACATCTTATAAACCATGGCACACTATCAAACTGAGAAATGAACACTGGTATAGTCTACTAACTACATTTTAAGCTTTACTTGGATTTCACTGAATTTTTCAACAAAGGTCCTTTTTCTGTTTCCAGACCAAACCGGGACACCATTTTGCACCCAGTTCTCTGTTCTGTGAATTTCTTGAACTTACCTTGTTTCTTTATGATCTTGACAGTTTCCTCCTGATTTTACAAATAAAGTTTTATTAGGACACTGCTACGCCCATTTGTTTCTGCCTTCACTCTCCACTGGCAATGCTGCAACAGAGACTCTATGGCCTGCAAACTCCGAGCTACTCACTGTTTGTCCCTTTAAGGAAAAAGTCTGCTGACCCCTGGTGATGAATAAATGAACCGCAGCCGTAGAAAGGAAATGGCCAGAGTACTCCAGTGCTCTTGCCTGGAAGATCCCACGGACGCAGGAGCCTGGTAGGCTACAGTCCATGGGGTCACAAAGAGTTGGACACGACTGAGCAACTTCACTCAGCCTTAGGAAATTAATTGGTACAATACTATCAATGGTACAATACTAACAACTAAGCTACAACATGAGTTTGACTCCTGTTTACTGCTGAGTAACCTTAGAAAACGTTTTGCCATTTTGTCTTATTTATTTATTATTTTTGGCTGCGCTGGATCTTCATTGTGGTGCTTGGGCTCTCCAGCTGTGGCACCTGGGCTTAGCTGTCATGTGGGATCTTAGCTCTCCAATCAGCGATTGAACCCAGGTCCCTTGCACCGGAAGGCGAATTCTTAACATTGGACACACTGGACCACCAGGAAGTCCTGTGTTTTACCTTTCTGAGTCTCAGTTTCCTTATCTGGAAAATGAGAACACCATCAGCTACTTCTCAGGCTTAATTACTGTAGGTAAAAAAACTTCCCACAGTGGTAAGCTCTCAGTAGCTCAGTAACTGTTATTATTACTTTTATTAACCATTTTAATTCTCATAATTGTTTCACCTTGCCTTTCACATCTCTGTATTTTCAAGTTTTTTCTGTTTTCATGAACTACTGCTTTCAAGCCCAAACCACTATCTCTAAGCATTATCTTTTCTTTTGTACTAAAGAACTGCTCAAATTTTTATTGTATGTGTTATCCCGGAATAAAACTTAATGTCAGAATAGGGCCTGAAATATCATTATAGTTACATCCCAAAGGAAGTGAACATATTGAAATGATTCATAATACACTGTTTTAGGATAAACTGGTCTCCAACAAGCTCAGATGCAGNTGTTATCCCGGAATAAAACTTAATGTCAGAATAGGGCCTGAAATATCATTATAGTTACATCCCAAAGGAAGTGAACATATTGAAATGATTCATAATACACTGTTTTAGGATAAACTGGTCTCCAACAAGCTCAGATGCAGTGCTGTACTTCCTTTTTATTGGAACTTAGTAAAATAAAAACTTGGCAGTCCATCCATTTGGATCAGGTTGGAGACAGGGATGTTGAGAGGAAGGATTCTCATGAAATTTCACACACACACACACGCACACACACACACGTTCACTCATACAACAAACTGTTTCCAGGGAACAGACAGGGAGCCAACAGTGCTTCTCAAATATGAGGGAAGAAGAAGAAACATCTCTTTCTAGCTTCTAGAGTCAGTAACTTTGGTACTAGCTATTTTTCCTTATTTACCTTTATAAACATACACCTTCCAGGATGAAAAAAATCACAGATCTGGTGAGTAATGCACACCAAATGAAACTGAAAGAGGATGTCCACATGGTTTGTGAGACAGAATTCACACAGATTAAACAGATCAAAACCATCTTCAGTAAATGTCACGCTCCGGGCGCACGCAACAGTTTTGTCTACAGATTCCTGTATGTCTGTACTTCGAAAGGAAGTTACTCCTACTGCCGTACATAAAAATGCATAACATATGTGCACACAATCTGTGATTCCAAGCTTCCAACTCTGATGTCACCGTTCACGCTGGCAATTAGCTCTGCATGTATTAGGAGACTAGCACACTGACCGATCTTGTGGTCTCCGTCAGTGACAGACGAAGGAGCTCATAAGTAAGTGTTTTTCCTTTGGCAGCTGAGCCAAACTATCTCCTCTGCTTTCTACAGATGTGATTTATTTGCATAATTTCTTTAAATTTTTATTTTTTTAATAGCAAAAGAAACAGTGCGTTCTGTCTTAAGTGCTTGGGTATGCGTGCCTGGTTAACATTTCCAGTTTCAATGTTTCCTGAGAGGAAGTCATTCAGAGTGTGTTATCTAAACAACTCTAATAGGTCTAATCCAGGAAACTATCAGGGTTTCACTGTTCATAACACCATTCAGAGTTAATACCCCAGGGTCAAGCAACATTTAAAAACACTGATGTAAAATTTTACACACACACACACTCACTCTCTCTCCCCTCTCTTCTCTCTGGCTCTGTCAACAGGCAACCTTCCCCCTAAGAACAGTCCTTTTAGAGACTGACATGGAATAGAGGTTAAAATCGCAACTCTTGGGGAGAAAAAAAAATCAGGATTGATCTGATCGATATTTGGTTAAATAGACAATATTTGATCAAAATTAGATCTTTTCCTCCCCAAACTTCAGTTTTTATAACTCTTTTCTATGGGAAAATGGCAGAAAATGGGAAGCAAAGGGCATCAAGGGTTAAGACAAATGTCAATCCTGAGTGTTTTATTTTTTTAAACAGGAAATAGGGCAAGGATGACAAGTACAATGGCCATGATTTAACTTGTGACGGCACAAAGGAGGGCCTGCCAACCAGTAGTTTTTCAGAGGAGGTCTCGAAACCGCAGATGACAAAAAAAGCACTGGGCTGTCTTCAAACACTGAAATAATTAGCCTCACCATTGTATCCAATTTTATCGTTCTGAATGACTCTTGAAAATAGATGACATCTGACTCATGGTAAGGAAAAGATGTGATTTTTAAAAACTGGAAATTACAAATAAAAATTGGCTACCTCTAAATTCATTCACTCTTCATTTTTAAAATTCATTCTTACTTCTGACAAAATTCAGGCTGCACAGTGATTGATAATTTCTGATCTCTCTGAAATGTAGCCAAGAAAAAGGCAGTGAAATAAAGGCCTCTGAGCAGCCAAAAAGATGTGATATGAGGGCTTACGGAAAAGCCTTTAAGGACCTTAATTTAGAGTACTTACTCCTATCTAACTAAACTCTACCCAACTTGGTTACCAGTTTCCAACCCACTGCAGAACAGAAGTGGTCATCGAAACTGGAAATACGGACTCTTAAAGCAGATATTCTTTTTAAATGAGACCATAAAACACCTAATTCTTAGGGTATGGGGTCTTTCCATTTAAAGGTAAAACTATACCCGCCCGGAAATGGGAATGAGTTTAAATTTTGTTCAAGTACTTCTCTTTTGGATGACAGAAAGTTCAATCCATTTCAAGAAACTCAAAGAAAATTACAGTCATTTTGCACAGGATTTTTGTTATAATTCAGTTACCCCCAGAGCTAATTTTGCTACCCTAAAATTAATCATGCTCCAAAGGTTCCAGAAGAGGTAGAAAATGTCAGAGCAAATGAGCCTTATCCATTAAAAAAAAAAAAAAATCACAGGGGGAAAACACCTGTCTGACATCATTAGAAACTTACAACACGAGAAGGATTCCTTTTCTGAATGGTCAAGACAGAAACTAGGACTGGGATTGTAAACTAGGAATGATGTGACCACCATGACTGATCTATACTCTTAATACAATAAAACAAAACAACCAAAAACCTCAGAACTCAGTTCCACTATTTTGTATTACTTTACAGGATGACCAAAGGATGGTCCATGTACCCAGGGTAAAGTTTAGCCATAAGCTATTCTGCCTTTTAAAAGACAAACACAGGACTTCCTTGGTGGTGTCCAGTGGTTAAGAATCCGCCCGCCAAGGCAGGGGGCAGGGGCTTGATCCCTGGTCTGGGAAGATCTCACATGCCAAGGAGCAACCAAGCCCGTGTGCCACAACAAAAACCCAGTGCAGCCAAAATTAAATAAATAAATTTATTTTAAAAAGTAAAGATAAACATGATCGGAAAGATGGCAGGGAGTAAAATAATTATGACAAGGGTTAGAATCAAGAGCAGCCCAAACCCTCTCCATGAATGTATTTTCAAGGCCTTGTCTGTAGTGTGTTCTAAGATGAGTTGAGGAAGTAACATGACATATGTTGAATTTGTTAGTTATCTTACACATGGAAATAAAATACGGTCTAACCGGCTGGCAGAGGAGGAAGATCTTTATTTCTTCAGCACTTTTTCAGATGGAAACATTAAAAAGGGGAACGAATATATTAAGATAAAAGGCACATAGACTGCCTCAAGTCAATGGCTTGAGGGGAAAGCTGGCTGATTCTCAGTAAGTTAAAAGCCTTGGAAAACATCCAAGGTTCAGCATCAAGTTGCAGGAATCATATTAAACTTTAGAACTCTTGCTTATTGATTCAATGATGCATTCTGGCCACTTCCTTGTATCTTCACCACTGCTTCAAGCAACAAGGCAAGAACCCACCTTGTTTCTCTGTGAATAATGGTTGATACTTAAAAAAAGGCTGGGTTAATATGTTACACTAGCATTTTTGAAGGGGTTCATTTTGACACATGCTATCTAATTAGAAACTGCATCTGGTGCTGACAGAAAACATCAAGTGAACTAGTAGGATTTGATTTTTGAAATACTAGCAATATGCTCAGGAATGAAGTAAGGTCTTAAAAATTGGCAGATGTAACATTCACAAAAGTTGCCAAATGCTGTGTGTCAGACCATCAACATTTCAGATACAAAAGGCAGAAGGATCTGGCTAGGCAATAATTATTGAATACATTTATTTACAATTTTTTTTAAGAAAATGAATTTATCGTGCAAGCTATTGTGTCTATGTGAAAGGATCTTCTGATCATTGTCATGGGCCTTATCTCAGATCTACAGACAGAATGCGAGGGAGTAAAAAAGATGACTGGATTGAATTAGGGGACCTGGCTTTGCAGCTAAGTCACTTTGTGGTTTTGCATGAAGTCAGCTGACATCTGTTTCTTAGTTTTCCTATTTATTAAAAGAAGGAGTGGGACGGGGCGATGTATGAGGGCCTTTCCAGATCTAACATTTGATGATGATCAAAACTCGGAGTCTATAAATTTCCTAGTCCTGCTGGATTATTTATTATGGTGTATCACTTAATTCTTGGTCATGTTCCTTAGCACTGAGAAACCTAGCTGTCACTCAAGTTCTCCAAACCTTAAATGATTTTATTTTCCCCATCAAAAAAAAAAAGACGATCCTGGGGCTTCCCTGGTGGCTCAGTGGTGGAGAATACAGCTGCCGCTGCAGGAGACAGCCACTGGATTCCTGGTCTAAGCAGATCCCGCACGCTGCAGAAACACCAGGCCTGCGTGCCACAACGACTGAGGCTGCTCTAAAGCCGGGAGCTGCGACTACTGAGCGCGCTGCCGCAGCTACCGGAGCCCACACCATGAGAAGCTCCAACTACAGAGCGGCTCTTGCTTGCTGCAACTAGAGAAAAGCCCACGTAGCAATGAGGACCTGGCACAGCCAAAAAGAACTGAGTGATAAAAAAGACAAGACACTGAAACCCATGCCGGAAACAGCTGCCAAACCCAGTTCTGAGGAGCTGTTACCCAGGTGACGGGACTGTCAGCGGAGCTCTGACCCAGCCCACAGGGAATGGTTCTTACGAGGTCTGTGCGGGCTCAAGTGGTGACTGTGCTCCATACTGGATCGAGATGTCACAGTTCCTGAGGTGGGGCACTTTGCCCAGCGGAGACAATGCAAACTTATTATTCTGCCTCCAGGGAAATCTATGCTGGAATGGCTGAGATCTCGGACTTCACTAACTGGAATGAAAAGAGCAACGTTACAGCATCCAGGTTAGCGTGTTCCGGCCCCCTCAGACTGGAGAGGAGTCGTTTGAATGTGGGAAACTTCTGCGCGACAGTACTGAAGTCAAGATGCCTCTTCCCCAGTTAAGGAGAGCTGCAAGCTACCCACTGCTAAGTCCAAGGCTGCCCTTTCTTCTTGCTCTCTGCAAATGTCACAGAAAAGACGGAACTTACAAGACTTAGCTTTAGTCTTATTTTGATGGGAGAAATTACATGCGTGGGGGAATTTCTAATCATTACTGGGCTGGGTTTGCGAGGCTGGGAGACAGTTTAAATAATTCACTAGATACTGGCATGTGTGTTCTGGCATAAGAAGGCTCCAAAAAAGTATTTGAGGTGAAGGGTGTTCAGAAACAGCAACAACGTATATGCTGTGTTCTCAACATTCGGTCACAGGGTATAAAGTGCTAAATAAAGGGCGAGTGAAATCATCTGTGTTAAGAAATTTTTTTTTTTAGATGTGAAACTTCACTTAGTTGGAATTTATGTTTTGAATCAGGGGTTGGCAAACTTTTTCTTACAGGGCGGGTGAGTAATCATTTCAGGCTGGTGGGCCATACAGTTTCTGTTGCAACTACTGAACTCAACTGTTACATTGTGGAAGCGGCCACAGACAACAGGAAGTGCAAGGGGATGGCTGTGTTGTAATAAAACTTTATTTACAAAACAGGTGTCTTGCCCTAAGACTGTAGGTAGCCAGCCCCTACATGAGACACTTGCAAAGCATGTGTGCTTTACTGCATTGCTTCATTTAATCCTCATGAAAAATCTAAGAGGTGGGGAGTTGTTGCTGTTCTTCAGGCACTCGGTCATGTACAACTCTTTGCTACCTCATGGAATGCGGCACCCCAGGCTTCCCTGTCCTTCACTATCTGCTGGAGCTTGCTCAAATTCATGTCCATTGAGTTGGTGATGCCATTCAACCATCTGTCCTTTGTCGTCCCTTTTTCCTCCGGTCTTCTGTCTTTCACAGCATCAGGGTCTTCCAGTGAGTCGGGTCTTTGCAGCAGGTGGCCAAAGTATTAAAGCTTTAGCATCAGTCCTTCCAATGAACATTTAAGGGCTGATTTCCTTTAGGATGGACTGGTTGAATCTCCTTGCTGTCCAAGGGACTCTCAAGAGTCTTCTCCAACACCACAGTGAGGAAGCCTTCTTTATGGTCCAACTCTCACATCCATACGTGACTACTGGAAAAACCATACCTCTGACTACATGGAACTTTGTCAGCAAAGTAATGTCTCTGCTTTATAAAGCAGAGAAAATACACTGTCTAGGTTTGTTGTAGCTTTTCTTCTGAGGAGCAAGCATCTTTTAATTTTATGGCTGCAGTCACCATCTGCCATGATTTTGGAGCCCAAGAAAATAACGTCTGTCACTGTTTCCATTGTTTCCCCACTATTTGAGATGAAGTGATGGGACCAGATGCCATGATCTTAGTTTTCTGAATGTTGAGCTTTAAACCAACTTTTTCAGTCTCCTCTTTCACTTTCACCAAGAGACTCTCTAGCTCTTCTTCGCTTTCTGCCATAAGGATGGTGTCATCTGCATATCTGAGGTTATTGTGATATTTCTCCCGGGAATCTTGATTCCAGCTTGTGCTTCATCCAGCCCAGTGTTTCTCATGATGTACTCTGCATATAAGTTAAATAAGCAGGGTGACAATATACAACCTTGATGCACTCCTTTCCCAATTTTGAATCAGTCCATTGTTCCATGTCTGGTTCTAACCGTTGCTTCTTGACCTGCATACAGGTTTCTCAGGTAAGGTGATCTGATATTCCCATTTAAGAGTTTGCCACAGTTTGTTGTGATCCACAGAGTCAAAAGTTTTAATGTAGTCAATGAAGCAGAAGCAGATATTTTTCTGCAATTCTCTTGCTTTTTCCATGATCCACTGGATGTTGGCAATTTGATCTCTGATCCCTCTGCCTTTTCTAAATTCAGCTTGTACATCTGGAAGTTCTTGGTTCACATACTGTTGAAGCCTAGCTTGGAGGATTTTGAGCATGACCTTGCTAGCATGTGAAATGAGTGCAATTGTGTGGTAGTTTGAACATTCTTTGGCGTTGCCTTTCTCTGGGATTGGAATGAAAACTGACATTTTTCCAGTCCACGGTCACTGCTGAGTTTTCCAAATTGTCTGGTATATCGAGTGCAGCACTTAGACAGCATCATCTTTTAGGATTTGAAATAGCTCAACTGGAATTCCATCACCTCCACTAACTTTGTTTGCAGTGATGCTTCCTAAAGTCCACTTAACTTCACACTCCAGGATGTCTGGCTCTAGGTGAGTGATCCTACCATCGTGGTTCTCTGGGTCATTAAGTTCTTTTTTGTATAGTTCTGTGTATTCTTGCCACCTCTTCCTAATATCTTCTGTTTCTGCTAGGTCCATACTGTCTCTCCTTTACTGTGTCTGTCTTTGCATGAGATATTCCTGTGGTATCTCCCGTATTTTGCCCATTTTGCAGGTGACGGCACTGTGTCCTATGACCTGCCCGTGGTCACAGTCAGTGTCTGGACCTCAGCTCTGAATCCAGAGCCTGAGCTACACTACCCGGTCTGATGTGCCCTTTAGATCATGACACCTCGTTTAAAGAAAGAAGTAGGACTGAAAACTGTCGGTGCTGCTATGTTTCTTATTGAAGCACAGAGGAATGAGGCTTCGGTTGGGAATGACCAATTCAGAGATAAGACATCTTCTGACTTTGAAAGTAAACATTAGAACAGAGACAGTTGATGAAACAACTAAAAGAGGTAATTAAGAAAATGCCTATCACAGTTAGAAACAAGTGGGCAGGAAAATGGGTAAACAAGATTCTCACCATGGAAACCAAAAGCTGGATGTTATTAATAGAGAGAAAAAGTGGTGAATGAGGCAGGTGACTGCTGTTCTTAAAACACTGAATGCCATTAGCTTAGGAGGGGCTGGAGGAAACACACAAAATGATCAGCAAGCGGTTACCTGCCTACATATTCTTTCATTTTCTTGACCTACTCATCTCCCATTTTCTGTTCCCCCCACCTCGACTGCCGACTCAAAAAGGCATATTTAGATTTGAAGAGACAGCTACTCCTGTCATTTCCTATGTTACTGCCTCAAATTTAACCCCAAGCATTCTACATTCTATCGCTGCTCCTTGTCTCACCTCGCTTTCTTAACCCACATTGGAAGTCTCTTAACTTCATCAGGATCTCCAAGATCCCATTGATCGTATTCATACTTCCTTACCCAGTGAAAAGTCCACGGCTCATTGCTACCTGCCACTCCTGGGCACTTCATCTGTGCCTTCGCTGACCTCTGTTACTCTACTAGGTAAAGCCTGACTCAGACTAAACCCAACTTACCTGCTGAAGATGGCTGGAAGGAAAAGAAGCTGGTGCTATGTAATTTCACTTGAAATTTATTTTGACAGAACCCTGGGACCATCCTACTATGCTTCCCTGGTTAACTGCTTTCTGGGTCTCCGAGCTGATTATTATTTCCTTCCTCTCAAAGCCTCCAAAGACTCCCATTTTACTAAATGTAATGGTTAGTTCCCAGTCCTTATCCAATTCCATCACTAGCCATTGGACACAAGTGCCCATTCTTCTCTGAAACACTATCGCCCTCTGGCTGCCGGGGTCTCATGTGTTCTACTGTCTCTCTACCGATTACTTCTTTCTGTCTCCTCTAGACCCCAGGGCTGGAGAGCTCCAGGGCTTGTTTCTCAGATCTCCACTCTTCATCTAGTCTCTAGGTTAGGGGTTCTCAAGCTTGGTGGTCTGGATGCTTCTGCTCATTAATGCTTTGTTATAGGGCCTGTCCTGTGACATTTATCAGTATCCTTGTCCTCTTGTTACTAGATACCAGTAGCCCCCCATCCCTTTCCCAAGCTGTGACAGTCAAAATTGTATCCAAACACTGTCAACTGTCCCTGGGAGGGTGTGGGGTGGGTCACCCTCAGTTGAGATGTAGGTGAACTCAGCCCCATGGCTTCAAATGCCATCGGAGGAGCTGGTAAGCCCTCAATATATATTATACCCCAAGCTCCAGACCGTGTCCCAAGCTCCAGACCTGTTTATCTACTGTCTTTATGTCTTTATTTGGAGGTATTGGGTTGGCCCAAAACTTTGTTTGGGTTTTTCTGTATCATCTTACAGAAAAACCCAAACGAACTTTTGGGCCAACATAATAGTGTCTGTATTTGCTTATTTACATTCTGCCTCTTGAGCAGAATGTAATCTCCACGCAGGCAGGGATTTATATATTTGATATTTACTCCCAGGGCCTATAATGAGGCTGGTCATGTAGTAAGGGCTCAAAATATATCTGCTGCTTAAAGAATTAAATATTTAATATATATTAACTCATTTCATGCAGTTCATCAACCATGGGGCAATCAGGTAGATAATTTTTAAATATCAAGTCATCTTTTAAAGACATATTTTCTTTAGCTCAAGATAAAAGGAATACTTTATTTTGAAATAAATGTGTAAATAGTACTAATATGTGTGCTTAGTCGCTCAGTCATGTCCAACTCTTTGCAACCCCATGGACTGTAGCCCGCCAGGCTCCCCTGTTCATGGGGATTCTCCAGGCAAGAATACTGGAGCGGGTGGCCATGCCCTCCTCAAATAGTACTAATGTGATCCATTGAATTTTAGGTAAATTTTTGCTATAGTCTTGAAAATAACAAAACTACATCTTGTTCTTTCAATACTTCTGTTTTACTCTGTATTCTTTTCATGCTTCAATTTGCACTTGTAAATATATACGAATAAATGTGCATATATATATTTATTTCAAAAAATAACTGTGCCTCTTGACTATGATGATGCCAGTTAGCTGCCAGTTCTTAACTGTAAGTCATTTCTCTTGGTCTAATTTACGCTGATCTGAAGCATAAAGAAGAGGATAAATTTTCCAAGGAAGTGTGAATCCTCCTATCCTTCAAAAAACTGCTTCCTAAATAATATTTGTATTTCATATTATGTAATATTTAACAATATTTGTGACAGTTATATTTATGAATAGGTTGTACTGTTTTTCATTTATTCTCTCCCTCTCCAGGGGAAGTAACAAAGCATAGCACTTCCTTGCTGCCAGTGAGCTCCTGACATTAAGCTCTGCATATCGATAAATGCACATTATAATCAAGTTTTAAAGAAGACCATGGCATCCACATTTTCTTTTAAAATGCAGGCAGTTTCCAGAAATATTTCCCACAAATCTCCTTGGTTTATTTATTTATGTGCGTGTTTACTCACTAAGCACACAGACTTGTGTGTACTTTTTTACATAAATTTCTTGAAGTTCTCTCATTGGGTTTTCCTTGAATAGAATCGAAAGCTGTCTTAATGATTAGTGCAGGCTGGATGTGAAGGCATCTTAAAACTTTATCAGTGATGGACCAGAGGTATTAAAATATTCATGCATGCATAGCACAGAACTCAACCCCAATCCAACCAGCTCTATGGATGCTATAAGCTACTCCTCCATACACTTATTTGTAACACCAACAATTATCCTGACACATTTTAGAAAGTACTCAGATTGAAAGGATTTTCTGTTCAGTCTCATTTCAGCAGGAATTCCACTGACTTGCTTTTTAAAAACTGCTGTAAAACATACATAACATGAAATTTACCATCTGAACCATTTTTCAGTAAACGAGTTAGCAGTGTTAAGTACCTTCACACCACTGTGCTAAACTTTTAAATGATATCTCTGTTACATACATTTTAACCAATATAGCCAATCATGGTATTCTGTGGGGGAAAAAAACCCTATCAAAATGTACTGGTTTCAGTATTACTTTTTCATTCATTGCTGGTCCAATAGAAATTCACAAAGAAACAGCATTTAATGGCATTTTAAAAAAACCTTTCATGTAAACAATATGCCACCAAAGACTGAATGTTAGATTTTAATACTTGAAAATTGTAAAAAAAAATAAATAAATAATGAATTTATGTTTGATTTCTCATCATTTACCAGCAAAATGAAATGTTTCAGAAGAGAGTTTTACAGCATTAACTTTCCATCCTAAACAATTTTTTTTCTTTCAGTTAATTCTAAATAAATTTTAAGGAGAGATTTAAATCAAGATCCTGATGAAACAGGATTTGATTAACTTATGGCCAACAAATCTCGGAGAGTTTAAAAATGAACAGGTTCTCACAATCTTTAGCTGTAAATGAATACAAGCCTGAGCCACTGAAGGAGTTAAAAATTATAAATACTCTGAACATAAGCATACTTTGGTTAGTAAAAGACTTTACAAAATACAAAATCTCACCCATTTTAATAATAAAGGGAGTAGATTATGGTGCTGGGCTTTAGCTCTGGAACAAAGAATGATTTAGCCTAGCCAATTAAATGGGCTGACTTTTGCACTAAGGAAGCTGTTTTGGGCATCTGCAGCCTTTTCTGGGAGTGTAGGTGGAGTGACCCATCTGCAAAGACACTTGCATTTTTGGACCAAGACACCACATGGGCTGTTTTTCAAATAGAGCGGATTTCTAAGAAACCAGAATCTGCTCCTTAAGACTGAAATTTTCAGAGAAAATCCTGACTCAGTTGGACTTCCCGCTGAAATGAAATGAGGTTAAAGAGAAAATGCTTTCCATGTGAACACTTTCGAAAATGTGTCAGTGTAATTGTGGATGTTGCTGAAGAAAATGCAGAGGGTTTGTGGGCAACGAAGTTGCACCTGGCTGGTGGCATTGCTTCTCTGGTTCGTCTTTCTTCAATAGCAGGTTTTGTCAAGGAGCTAGCTTGCTGTGTAGGAAAGGATGGAACCGTCCCTCTAAGAATGCAAAACTGGGGACTTCCCTGGCAGAATGGTGAAAATTCCATGCTTCTAATGCAGGGGTCATAGGTTCGATCCCTGGTAGGGAAACTAAGATCCCACATGCTACATGACCAAATAAATAAAACTAAAGAGTGTAAAACCAATGCAGTCTAGTGAACACTATTCAGCTTCTTTCTGATAAACAAGGACTAATAGTACCTATTGGGGAACTTCCCTGGTGGTCCAGCTGGTTAGGAGTCCGCCTGCCCATGCAGGGGACATGGGTTCGATCCCGGGTCTGCGAAGATTCCATAGGCCCGAGAGCAAGGAAGCCCGTGCTCCACAACTACTGAGTCCACGTGCTGCAACTACTGAAGCCCTCGCGCCCCAGAGCTTGTGCTCCGCAGCAAGAGAAAGCACCGCAATGAGCAGCCTGCGCACCACAACTAGAGAAAGCACCGCAATGAGCAGCCCGCGCACCGCAACTAGAGAAAGCATCGCAATGAGCAGCCGCGCACCGCAACTAGAGAAAGCACTGCAATGAGCAGCCCGCGCACCGCAACTAGAGAAAGCACCGCAATGAGCAGCCCGCGCACCGCAACTAGAGAAAGCCCATGTCAAGCAGCGAAGACCCAGTGTGGCCAAAAGAAAATAAATAAAAGAAAAGTAAGTACCTACTGGGCACATTCAAGACCTCAACTTTTCCTCTGTAGACTAACATGGACAGTCTACAAAGACTATATGCTCATGTCAAGGCATGCTCTGAAGTTTCTCTCCTAAGTGAGTCTGTGGTATTAGATTTACCGAATGCCTTTTACTTGCTCTCACAAGCAGGGCATCTAGCCTCACACAAGAATCTGGCCCAAAAAATGATTACATATTAGGGAATAAAGTCCAGAGTTTTCAAAAAGAGAGGAAAAAAAACAAAACAAAACCACTTTTGATCTGCCTTAACAGTTATTTTAGCCAAAGATAATGCTAACCAAGTGTAGGAACCTGGGGGTGGGGGGTTGGGTGGTCAGCTCAGCTACAGCACAGTTCTTGTAAGACCAGATTTAGCCATTGACACCAACCCACGAGGAAGATCGGACCTCCACAGGAAGAGGCGCAGATGAGCACTAAAGCTAAAGGAGGTTAGGAAGGGTAAATATGTGGTTCTCTCAGAGCTACCTTCACGTTGAATGTTATTTCCTCCATGACGTACACGCGTTCAGGAAATGCTTTGGCCACCTCCTCCACGCTGTTGAAATATTGCACTGGCTCCTTTATATCTCGGTCTTGTTCCAGCAACTTGAATTGGCCTAAAATACACGATAAAGGGAAGAGCTGTGAAACGCTTACGCTGGACAGCTGTCACCGTGGCGACAGCATCCCCTCCCCTTACTCCCACTCTTGTCCGTCAGAGGCTTCCGAGCATTACACTAAAAAAAAGAGAGCCACTGTGGCAGAAGCTTTTCTCTGAACTAGGATATATATTTAAAAATTAGCTTAAAAATGAAAGCAAATGTGTAGTTTCTTTTTATTTTTTTTGCTTACATTCAGGGTTTATTCCCAGAGGATCAACATCAAATTGGATGAATGCTTACTTAGAGTGTAAACACGATGTGAAAACTCAGTGTGTTATAAACGGTTGCACATGTGGCTTGTGATAGTGGTCCTGCTGTTATTTAGTTGCAATGATGCCCCCACACATTAAATTCTAAAACCAAGGTTGAGTGGCCTGGGGGAACTTATTTTTTTAAATTAGTGTTTTTAAAATGTGCAGGTGGAATAAAATAATCTGTGGCCCCTTAGCTTTCACTGATGCCCTTGGTTTCAAGAATATGTGAGTGATATTGGGGACTCAGAAGCTCCTATAATTTGTGATGTGGCTGTGGTACACGGCCTGAGCCTGAGGGGACTGGTGTTGGGGGGAGACCCTTCCAGTGAGTAAGGCACTTGGCATCTGGAGCAGCAGGTGGCTTCCTTCTGTTTACTGCCACCTGTGAAATTCATCAGTGCAGACATACTATCATGGTAGCCGTAGCTTGGGTGATTTTTGAAGAACTTTGAACACATTCCTAAAAATGTCAAGGATCTACTATACTGCTTGTACATTTTCAGCATTTGTGACACTCACTGCTACATTCTAGAGGAGCTGCTGTCAGCTGAGAATAAAAGACCACATACAATCAAGCCCATGACACCATGTTTCTCAGTGGTCATTTTCTGAATGCTGTTTATAACACTTGAGAAATTGGAAAAGGAATGAAAAACTCTTATGACACAGAGTTCTCTGCATGCATCCATGGGTCACTGGCAGAAACAGGGACACCTGCATACTGACCATTCATATCCTCAACATATTTTTTAACACAGCATCTCTTAGGTGGAGGCATTATTTTAGATGCTGTAGATAAATCAATTAAGAGACTAGATAAAAATGTCCTCTTGAAAATTTACATTGTAGTGGGAGACAGAAGATATCTACAATAAATCAATGGAGTATATAATATGTTAGAAGGTGAGTAATGAGTTTATGTGCTCAGTTGTCTCCAACTCTGCAACCCCATGGACCACAGCCCACCAGTGGAAAAGCAGTGGTGATTATAGAAGAATCACTCTGGTTGCTTGTTGAGGACACTGTGAAGGCGCCAGGTGTAGAGGCAGAGACACCAGTTAGAAGGCCTCCGCCATCGGGCAGGTATGAGATGGCAGGGGTTTGGAAGAGGTGAAAAAATGTCGGGAATCTGGCCTGAGTGGCTAAAGGAATGGAAATGCCATTGACTGAGATGGGCAGGTCTGGAGGAGTCGGATAAGGAAGTAAGGCCAGGGGTTAAGTTTGGACTCAGGCTCAGTCGTGTCTGACTCTTTGCAGCCCCATGGACTGCAGCCTGCCAGGCTCCTCCGTCCGTGGGATTTCCCAGGCAAGAATACTGGAGTCGGTTGCCATTTCCTTCTCCAGGGGATCTTCCCAACCCAGGGATCAAATCCGTGTCTTCTGCATTGGCAGGCAGATTCTTTACCACTGAGCCACCAGGGAAGCCCTTATTAGACATAGAAATGGAGATACTCTGAAAGCTCTAGACAGACACATAAGTGTGGCGGTCAAGAGAAAGGTCTGGTTGGAGATAACTCTGGGCGCCATCAGCACATGGATGATATTTTCAGTCATGACATTTAATGATGACGAACATGGGCTTAAGTGCAGACTGAGAAGACGTCCAAGGTTTGAGTTCTGGGAGACTGAGGAACGGTCAGGGGAATAAGAGGAAAATCCAGAAGTCGTACATCCTAGAAGCCAGGTGACTCAGGTGCTGTGGCCCAACAATTCCACTGCTCATATCAAAATCCCCAATTAAATACAAGCTGTAAATCCAACAGTTCTCAGTCTCATTTCAGTTCTGTAGGCAACACTTGACATCACTCCCCTTCTTCTCCTGGAGGCACTTGAATCAAAAAAACAAACACAAAATAGAGCTACCACCTCAGAGGGCTTCATGAAAGGAGTGTCTTCAGGGTATATGCAGGTCTGGGTTTTAACAAGATGCAAGTAACAGAGGTAGGTTTAAGGAGGTATGGATTTTGCTGGTGATGAACCTTGACAGAAGGGTTTTCAAGAGTTAATGGGTAGGCGGCGATGACAAAATAGAGGATGCACCTAGACATAACAGCTCGAGTACCTTCTAGAAGGATGTAGAGTGATGAATAACACATTCGAAAATACAAAATGATCATATCTTTTTCATAAAAACAATCTTTAAAAATTCAGAAAGACTATGGCAATCTTAATTCTACTTACTTAAATTCTGCCACTATAACCAATTAAACTTTTTCTTTTGTCACTTCTCTAGTCTGTGTACAAACTTTTAATAACCATGGTTTATTTACAGTTTTATACTCTGTTCCTTTGTAATTTTTCTCCTTTTCCCCACATGATGACACAATGTTTGCACAGCATCTAATAACGGGTTTATCTGTTTTTCTGTTCTTCTACGGTCAGGCTGAGTTAGGCAGGTGCCTAATGTAAGTGGGCGCTCTGCCACGTACATGTTTTATGATACTGGCAAATCACTAAATCCGTCTGAGCCTTGCTTCCTCGCCTGTAAAGTGGGGACACTTCACAGGGCAGCTGTGGGGATTAACTGAGATGATGCAAAGTGTTCAGCATAAGTAGTCGTTTAGTGACTCTCGGCTCCCCTCTCTCTTCTCAAGACACACAGGGATTTTGTCTTTTGGTTCATGTTCTGGGGATAAATCTTCTGGAGTGAGATTATTAAATTAAAGAGTAACACAATTTCTTGTTTACCATTCATGAATAAATTTTTTTTTCCCCCAAAAAACTTAAACCAATTTAGATTTCTACCAACAGGCTATGTGCCTCCTAGTTGGAGCACAATACTGTTCTGAGTATTTTTTCAATTAGACAATTCAATGCATATTAGAAAGCACTCTTCCTTTTATTAATCTGCATCTCTTTGAAGATTAGTGAAGTTAAACATCTCAATTTTTCTTGAGCAAATGACTATGCAGATTTATAATAAATATATTTGACACAGTCTACATTTCCTTTCACTTCTAGAGGCATCTAAGGCCCCCTGGATGGTTATACTTTGAAGTCCCATTAGCACTGAATCCAACATGTCTAAATTCAGGGAAGCACAATGCCTTGCATGCAATAGGTACTTATTAAATGTTTGCTAAATAAAAGAAAATTACTGTAGTCCTGGAACTGGCAGACAATAGAGCAATGCAGAAGTAATTGCAGGTTTTCCAAGTTGTAAATAAAAGGTGAACTACATTACTGTATACGAGGTTTGCTTCTAAACCACAGATGAATGTTTTCACTCAACAAAGAAAGCAAGCAACGGTGTACTTAAAAATCATTCAAATCTGAATAATGTACAGAGCCTCAAAGGATATTTTTCAGGAATCAATCCTACCAAGAACAGATCAGACAAGCAGCTGAAATTATCTTTCAGGAAGAAGCAATCTTTCAGCATCGGGCTGTGTTAAATAACGGGACAAAAGTAGTCATCAGTGAGTTAGAATTTTCAGGAATACAATTTTTTCACATTATCTTTTAAATCCTGTGTTTGTTTTACCCTCGTGGCATGCCTCTGTTCACACTAGCCTCATTACAAGTGCTCAAGAGCCTGTGTGACCAGTGGTTGCTGTGTCTATGGAAGGTCTAGAACATCTCTGTGTTCGCTTATAAAAGTGGCTGCAGACACTGTTCATGTCCTTAAAAAAAGATCCTGAGGTGGGGAGTACCTTCTAACAAAACAGGATGTTCCCTCTCGTGACATAAGAGCTTCAGAATTCTTATATTTTCTTTTTCTTGTCCTGTTTGTCATGATCACTGATATTTTGGTTCAGATAAGAGAGCCTGGGTTTCTTGATACAAACCATCTCTAACCCCTTAAACAGATCGCCCATCTCTATCATCATTTCTCTTCTCTTTCAATTTAGGCGCGTGTTCTTCAGGTATTCTTTAGTTATTTTTTCTTGTGTCTGAGATCTTTTACTATCAGCAGGCTCAAATACACTTTGGTATATGGACCAAATGAATAATTCTGTCTGGTATGGCTGTGGTGTCAAGAGCAAAGCTGCACACATTTCTCTTCTCTTTCAATTTGGGTGCTTGTTCTTCAGGCACTTTTATTTTTTTCTTGTGTCTGAGATCTTCTACTATCAGCAGGCTCAAATATGCTTTGGGATATGGATCAAATGAAGAATGCTGTCTGGTGTGGCTGTGGTGTCAAGAGTAAAGCTGCACACATTTCTCTTCTCTTTCAATTTGGTGTTCTTCAGGCATTCTTTAGTTATTTTTTTCTTGTGTCTGAGATCTTTTAGGTATGACCTAAGTCAAATCCCTTATGATTATACAGTGGAAGTGACAAACAGATTCAAGGGATTAGATCTGATAGACAGTGTGCCTGAAGAACCATGGATGGAGGTTTGTGACAATGTATCGGAGGTGGTGATCAAGACCATCCCCAAGAAAAAGAAATGCAAAAAGGCAAAATGGTTGTCTGAGGCAGCATTACGAATAGCTGTGAAAAGAAGAGATGCAAAAGGCAAAGGAGAAAAGGAAAAATATACCCATTTGAATGTAGAGTTCCAAAGAATAGCAAGGAGAGATAAGAAAGCCTTTCTCAGTGATCAATGCAAAGAAATAGAGGAAAACAATAGAATGGGAAAGACCAGACCGCCTGCAAGAAAATTAGAGATACCAAGGGAACATTTCATTCAAAGATGGGCACAATAAAGGACAGAAATGGTATGGACCTAACAGAAAGCAGAAGATACTAAGAAGAGG